TCATAAAAAAAACTTGCGCCTTAGACCCCATGCCCACCAGCCTTTAAAAAAAATATTTGCTTGAACTTCTTCCTCATATCACTCAAATTGTAAATGATTCTCTCCTCACAGGCACAGTACCAAATTCTTTTAAGACAGCACATGTCAGACCCCTTTTGAAAAAAGTTGGACTTGAAGAAAAGGACTTAAAAATTTTTTGACCAGTTTCAAATCTTTCATTCGTATCCAAAATTCTTAAATTCTGGAAAAATTTGTCTAATAAATTCTTACATCACATCAAAGCAATAACCTTAGCGAACGTTATCAGTCAGCATACAAGGCACGCCATAGTACCGAGACAGCGTTACTCAAGGTCTGTACTGATATTTATAGAAAAAAAGGTGTGTCAGCTTACTCTTTTGGACCTTTTGGCTGCATTCGGTACCATTGATCATGCCATTTTACTTGAGAGATTAAATACTACTTTTGGTATAATTGTACTGTCCTGCCATGGTTTGAATCATATTTTAAAGTTCGAACACAAGCAGTTGTGGTTGGAAGAATGTGTTCTGATTATGTTTTGCTTAGATTTAATGTTCCTCTGGGGTCTGTTCTTGGACCGGTCTTGTTTACAAACCTATTGTTGATATTTTAAGACAATATGGCATGAATTACCATCTTTATGCCGATGACACTTAGATTTATAGGTCTATTGATTTCGATCAAATACCAATGTATTTGAGAATTAAAAATATGGAAGACCAGCAATAAATTGAAACTGAATGATGACAAGACGGAAATAATGTTGATTGGAAATACAAAAACCATTAGAAACCTCAAAGAACTACAAATTGATATTAATAACCATACCATTCGTTCAAAAAGAAGTCTTAAAAGTATAGGGGTTCAATTGGATTATGATATGTCTATGTCCTCTCAAAATAGCCAGCTCAGCAAAAGTATTTACTTTCAGCTAAAGAAAATTGGCAGTGTAAGGAATTATTTAACTAAAGCAGCAGCCAAGACAGTTGTAACAACACTGATTTTATCAAAGTTAGATTACTGTAATGCTATTTTGTCTGTTATGACGGCCGAAAAACTATCAAAGTTACAAGTACTCCATAATCAAGCAGCAAAATTGATCATAATATACAAAACTGCCGTTCTCTGTTTTAAATGTATAAATGATACTGCACCTTTGTATCTTAAAACATTTCTGGAAATATATCACCCACCAAGAGCCCTTAGATCAGCTTTTGATAATATAATTCTTAAAACTCCCCCAAAAAAATTACAAAACAGCGAATTTTCCTTTTTTGTTCTTTGGTCCCCAGGTATGAAACGAACTACATGTGCCATATACAATAAGATCTGTCCCAAAAATTTACATTTTCAAAAATCAGCAGAAAGCATTTTTTATTCACAAGGGCATACCTGTCATAATGATGTACTATTATATATATATA